GATCAACTGACTTTTGAAACCCCCTCACTCTAACTAATTTATTTACTCCCCCTCTCCGTCTCTTTCTCTCTCTCTCTCCCCCCCCACACTCCCCCCCACACACTTCTTTAGGCGAAGTCCCCTCCTATGCAGCTGAGCCTCCTCCCCCACACTCCCGCCACCACCATCAAAGCAGAACCCACTTCCTCTCTCCCTATGGCCTACTCAACCCAGAAACCCTTTGTGTACTCCCCCATCGACTCAACCGCAGTCTTCTCTCCTCCCAGCAATACCATGGCGGCTGCTTCCATCACCACCTCCACCACAACTAGTACTTCTAATACTACGAGTAGTGGTGGTAGTACTTATAGTATGATGGGCAACGGGGGAACCGTGTTGCCCTGTGAGGACCGGGACAAGATGTTGCGGGACAAGGACCGGCAGATCAAGATGCTGACGCGGATGCTGAACCAGAAGCAGCAGCTGGTGGAGCTGCTGAGGATGCAACTGGAGCAGGGCAACCGAGGAGGCCGATTAGGTGGTGGTGGAGGTGGGGCAAAGATCCCAGACACCAAGGTCCTGATCCAAATCAAGAAGGAGCCTGGCGAGACCTCCCCTTTCTGTCTCTCCGCAGACCACCAGCCTCTGGGATCAGGGTTTTCCTATGCGACGCCACTCAATGTGACGGTCAAGCAGGAGAGCATGGCGGAGATTGACATCACCGAGATGCATCTACCGCTGTGTCCCGCGGGGCTCTCCCTCCCTGCCTTCACCAACCCGGGGCCTGGAGGTCCACCAGCCAGGTCGGGGAACCCTGCGGATGGCCACGAGCAGCAGATACAGCAGGCCGCACTCCAGCTGGCCCAACAGAGGGCCATTCAGAAGCTCCTCCTCCAGGAGCAGAATGAACAGAACCAGCAGAACCTGCTTCATAACCCCAGCCAACAGAACCAGCTGCACCTGCTTCAGAACCCTGGCCAACAGAACCAGCAGAACATCCAGCAGCACTCCCAGCAGAGGAAGAAGAAGTCCCACAAGCAGCAGCTCAAACAACAACAACAGCAACAGCTACTTTGTCAAATGCAGCCACAGCAGCAGCAGCAGTCACAGCCCAAGCAGAGCCAGGCCCAGCTGAAGCAACAGGTGCTTCTGAGGCAGCAACAGTCAGTGATGCTACAGAAATGCAAACTGCAGCATCAACAGCAGCCGACGCAGCAGGAAGTGCCACAGCACCGCCATCAGAGCCCCATACAAGCCAAGGTTCAGCTGAAGACGCAACAGTTGCTGCATGCCAAGCAGCAGCAACTGCCGATGCAACAGACACCAAAGCGGGAAAATCAGGTCCGCTGCAGCCCAACACACGACAACAACAGAAACATATAGCTAGATTCTCTTCCCAAATATCTTTACCAACTGATGTAAAATTGACATAAATGCCCTTAACATGTGACTGTGGTAGATTTGTAAGTAGTGTTTAAACACTCAGAGCAGGATAGTCACATGGTTAGGGGGTTGGATTCCCAAACGCAGAAAGGTTCAGGGTTCAAACTCCAATATCTACCTGTAGGAATCCTTGAGCAAGAGACCTAACCCCCTACTTGCCCAATCATGAAATGTATCTCCAACAAAAAGAAAAACTTCAAATAAGTGTCAATGGTAAAGTGTATAATGGCCAAACAAGGATGCCATAACTGAGAAATCTGGTTTCTCTTAAGGGGTCTCAACTTCTCCTCAACCAACAGACTGGCTCCGCCACCTCCTTCAACTTGGACTACCTGAAGACAGTCGTCGCCCCGGCCCTGCTCACTGATGGCAACGGAAACCACTTCCTGGTTGCACTGACCAATCACGTGTCCGAGATACAAAAGACTGGCACAACTGACAGCATGGCAACCACACAAATCATGCTAAAGGTACAGACACTCTTTGACACATTTTTTTTTACCAAAGTCTTTATTTCCTTAAATTTGGGAGATAATTGTCAATGTACAGCACTTTTTGTTCCTTTTTTTAGGGACTCCAATCTACACCTTTGCTCCCTGGCCAATCATCTCCTCAGCCAGACTGTCCTAACAACCTAGGATCATTAAAAGAATCAAACAGAAAGGTTGATGACATCATTTTGTCTGAAAACAATGATCGTTATGCGGTGAACTAAAAAATGTAATATTTTTCTAAATTAGAACTTCTCGATAAAAAAGTGACTTTTGTCACTGCTCCTTCCAGGGTAATATTGTCTTGTATCGTAACTTTATTTCTGTTTTGATTGGTTTGTTTCAAATAGGAAGCGGGACCCCAAGTTACAACCGACCAATCCCAGCAGGGGAACATCCACTCCCTGTCGTCATTCATTGACAATGAGACTTTGGGGAAAGACGCGTTGTTACCCTCGGTCAAAACTGTATGCGCTCAACCGTTCCAAATACTATGATCATCACAATGATGAAACACTGTGTTAGCACCTTATATACCTGAATAGTCTGATATTTAAAGTAGCGGTTTTACTCACTGGATTATTCTCCCCTCTTCTTATTCTCTCCTCTGCTCCTTTCCTCTCTTTTCCTGTACTCTCTTCTGCCCTCCTCTCCTTTTTCTCTTCTCCTCTGTTCCTCTGTTATATTATCCTCCTCTCCTCATTTTGTTCTTGCCCGCTTTATCCTCGTCATTCCTTTCCTCCTCCCACCTCCTCTCGTCAATTTCCTCCTCTCCTGTCCTGTCCTATAATCTCCTCCCTTCTCCTCGAATCTCCTCTCATCTTTTCTCCCTCCCCTCTCTTCTCTTTTCCTCTCCTCCCCTCTCCTTTCCTCTCCTCACTTCTCTTCTCCCCTCCAGGAGGAGGAGGAGGAGGCGTTCTCTGTCTTGGACCACAGCTCCTTGTTCAGCCCTCTGTCTCCAGCCTCTCTTAGGACGCCAGCCTCCTCTCCTGGTTACAGAGTAGGTGTCTATCTCTCTGCTTATCCTACCAACCCCAGTATAGCTGTCATTTTATAATGTATGCGTCACTCACACGTTGCTTCCTGTATTGTAGGAAAACACAGATGACCTCTTCGACATCCTGTTTCAAACCGGAGGTAAGAGAGATTACAATTTTTTAAGTGAAAAGCAAATAAATATTGCAAAACTATTGAACGCTTGATGAGTAAAATGTCTAATTCCAGGTATGTGATCTTATTCATTGTTATTTTTATTTTCAGAAATATCCTCCTCCTTCAAACCCTCTCTGGACCCCTCCTTGGATGGCCTCCACACCAGCCCCCCTCTCCCCTCTCCTCCTCCTTCTCCTCCTCCTTTCTCCCCCCTACAGCTGGTGCTTTCCCCCCCCACTACCTCACCACCACCCTTTAACCACTTGAATTTCCCACATGCGATTAACAAAGTGTTATCTTATCTTAACACCCAGCAACACCCGACTCTATGTCCCCAAGAGGAGCCTAGACAAGCCTCTGACACCACCCCCATCAACTCCACCATCACCATCAAAGAGGAAACGGTAGTAGAAGAAGAAGAAGAGGAGGAGAAGCGGGGAGCGTTCCACAGCGGTGGGCACTTGGAAGACTTCCTGGAGAGCACCACAGGGACACCCCCGCTGGGGGTGGAGCCTGGCAGCCCATTGACTTTGATTGATGATCTCCAAAGCCAACTGCTGAGCTTCTCTAGCATCCTGGACCGCCCGACCTCTCCCATGGACACCTTGGACCTTCATGGCTGCCTGGCGGACCACCATCCTGCCCCGCCATGCCTCGGGGGTGCCGGGGAGCAGATAGTGGACGTGATGGAGTGGCTGGATCTCACCATGGGAACGGGGGAGGAGCTTAGCGAGGACATGCTCCCCACACATTTGGCTCCCCTGGCCCCGCCCATGCCCGTAAGCGTCTTCTGCACAGACTTCCTCAACGTCTCAGACCTGCAGATGGGATGGGATTCGTGCTTGTAGGCAGCAGCAGCAACAGCTAACAGGATCCTGGAAGAAGGCCTGTGATTGGCCAGAGTCGTCCATCGTCTTGGCCAATAAATGTTAATGATTTTACTAGCAGTGTCTCAAATACAAAAAGTAAGTAAGAGTAAAATAAGTCCAAAATATTTCCCCCTGTATGAAGATCAAATGAGCATTTGACATTCAAATTTGAGCTGTTTCTTGTGCTACTATAATTTTAAATTCCAAAACATTATGTCAATTCCAAATTTGGCCAACGGCCAAAAGTTAGCAACCATTCTATGTAAATGTGTCCCACTAGCTTGTTTCTAGCGGAAGTGAGGCTGTTTTCACTGCCATCTCTTATGAGGTGCCACCCATATATGGGCACTCACGTATAAGGTCATCTGTAAAGCAACTTCTAATGCCTTTTATCCTGTACCTGTTATCATGCAAGATAATATAACACTTTGAATCATGCACTTGTATTATGCAATCTTTGCTAAGACTTTTCAGGCAGGTCCTATGGTCCTTAATTAGACGAGTAAGTAGTGACTTTAGAGAAACGATTCATGTTGATGTTTGAAAGGCACCTAAAACTTCTGGTCACATTCAGACATTTTAAGAGCCATTAACCCTTTCTAATTTCCCTTCACAAAATAGATGGCTCATCTTGTTAGAAACTTAGCAGCCTCTGTACTTTGATAATTGCCAAAGGCAATGACTTATCCTTGGCAAGTTTTAAATGCTGACGGAGAAGAGAAGTTTGTACAGTCTGTGTGATTATAAGTCCAATTTTATGTTTATTTAAGCTGTTTATAATACTGTGAATAAAAGAAGTGTCCCATGAACTATAGAATGGATATTTGACGATCTCTACAGTTGGGACTCCTTCTCACTTGTTGGTGTTCATGGAGGGTTGGTATATTACTGCCTCTTTTTGCAATTTCCTCACACTGTGAATCAAATAACTTAACACAGTTTACAATGGAGAACACAGCAGTCCTACAGGTTCAAATCCCAGTTTAGACATGCTTTCATCCCACTTACAGTGCAATTTTTGTTTTTTCGTTAGGGTATCTTGCTCAAGGAGGTCGAAAGGTTAGATTGCAGACATTGGGGTTTGAACCCAGAGCCTTTCAGTTGGGAGTCAAACACCCTCACCACTCTACTGCACTAGTACATGTTAGATAGGCCAGCTGTCTGTAGGTTTCTTCACTGGATTGTTGACCAAAGTCACAGTAGTCAAGTGTTACAATGCAGTGTAGCCAACAGCGGTAAACTCTGGATGTACATTTTGTTATATATTCGTATTAATAATACTGAAGTGATTAATACATAAATGAAATTATACTTATGTAAAGTAAACACATTTAAGAAGAGCCATTTTATAATATGGTATGTTAATGTACCAAGTTATTGTCCTGCAAAACTTTTGAAATATATTTTTTTCATGCTTATTCATTTACTATTTTCTCGTTTGGGCGATTTCTCCCGAGAAATGTAATGACAGCAAAGTTAATTGTTTATGAAGCAGATTGATTTAGTTTTCATGAGCATCAATCATTTGCTTTTGGGTATATTTTTAGCGTGCCGTATTTTAAAACTCATGGTCTTAATTCTTACTGATTATGCAATTTAATGCTCCTGACTCGAAAAAATAGGACAGTAGTGTTTGTTCGTTAATGAACGTAAATCTTGCAAAGAATGGTGCATGATGTAAACTTTAAAATACATGTTTTATGTTGATTTCTGTCCGTGTGTGTGTTCATTAACTTACAATAAAAAGATACACACACACACCATACAAAAAGAGAGACATCAATGTAGGGTTTAGGACGGGTGTTTTCTACTGCTTTATTTAATTGTAATATTGTTGCACATATTGTAATATTGTAGATAATGTCTCTTCTTGTACTGCATCAGTACTTTTGCTACTGGGGGAATACTGTGTTCTTCACAGACCACCTCTCACAAGGGCCTTACATGTTGCAATCTCACTGAGTGTGCAGAACGGAAGCCAAGCCTTGTGGTTGTGAGTGAATGTCATTGTGTTATATATAGACCTATATAGACATAAATGCACTGTAGAAATATTGGTGTACTGTGATGTATTCTGTTCTGTGATACCTACACACAAATTAGCTTTGGTTGTTATTTTTTGTGCTATACAAAGTTATTTTTTCACCAAGATGAACATGCATCATGAACATGTATCACCTGTAAATGCAAACTAGGTGATGTTGTGGTCTTTGTGATTTTTCTTTTAACTAACCACTGTTATGTGGAATAGAAAATGAAAAGTATATATTATTATTATTATTAATAATAATAATAATAATAATAATGGCAAAAATGTTCAAGTAAGTAAGATATAACCAAAGAAAGTGCTTATTGTGGTAATGTTACCTGATCTCCCTGGGTAATTGATATAATGGCACAACGATGTAGCCCTTTAGCATCCCCCTCCCCCTTCCTGCTAACTCCTCCTGTACATCGATAGTGTATTGACCGGAGCCCAAATCATGCAGCTAATTATGAACCAACATACCCGGTGGACTATGTCTGTTGTTATAGTTGTCATGTTTTTTTTTGTACATCACAACTTTCTTTTGTTTTTTGTCACATTGCACTTGAAGCAAGCCAACAAGTTAAAGAAGTACACAGATCATTAGTAAAACAAATAAACAGCTCGATAAAGTCACTGTTGCAGACAGTTGGGAGGCCATATGTTAACATTGCCGTCCTGGAGGTGAACACAAATAGTCACATTGGTTACACCTCCCTGTAAGCCAGCCAGTGTTTCAAAGGTTTGGATTGACTTCACTTGACCTTGTTTGACTTTGTGAATACTTCATATCAGACGCTTTGCCTTAATCTCTGTTGTGTGTACCATTTCCTTCAAAGAAGTTTGTATTGAATGAAACACAAGAATGTAATGCATTTGTTCGTAGAAATATTTGTGTTTAATATATGATAAAGTGGAACAAAAGGGAAGTGATTAAAAAGAACCAAGAAAACATTCTTTGTTCTTCAGTGGTTCCTTTGTTTTCTTAGTTAGAGGAGAGAAAGTTAGAAATATGCTCACATAAGGAATATGCACACGTAGGCTGTGCTGACATGTTGTGCGCTGCCTTTTATCTAGCTTGTGGCTTTCTTGTCTTTTCTGGCTTTTCTTTGTATATCATTTGACATCGGCAGCACCAACACACACCACCTCTCTCACCAACGACTGTTTCACATATTGTGTGTGTGCGTGCACGTCTATGTGTTTGTGTGCATGCATGTGTGATTGTGTGCGTGTACGAAATCTCCCCAAAAACAGAAATAGGCAGAGAGACTGAGGGGTAATGAAGAACGTAGCACGTTGGGTAAAATCGCTGAAATGCAGATCGTCTTCAGCGCTACCTGGCCTGCATTAGTGTTTACTACAGCACAGTACACATACTGTAGCCTATCAGAAACATAGTATGGTAATTAAACACTGCAGGGCACGCATTCCCAGAGAGAGATAACTATTTGCGGTGTCCTAGTGGGAAATAAAACCACAGTGTGAAGCTTGCACTTTGAAGTCCTCTTTTAACACTCCTCTACCCTTTTTTAATGTGGAAGTGTGGTGTGTAATTTCTTTTCCAAGTTTAATTATTTTATATTTTAGTGATCTGTCAGTCTATAGTGATGACACTCATTGACATACTTGCTTAGTCAAGGAAACTGTTATTTGTAATTGTTTCCGCAAATCCACTATTTAGTAGGTTTCAAAATCTAAAAACACATTGTGTTGCACAGTGATCATGACCTCAATAATTTAGCAGTTGGTCTTTGCAAGTATTTCAGTGTGAGGCAGATGCTCACGCCAGGTGAGTCCCAGGATGCACTGGAGGCAGCTTATGTGGAAGCGTCCTAAGGACTTGGTGTGACCTTAGGTGGACGGCTACAGGTGAGGATGGCTGTAGGTGACCCAAGCTTCACAGCTACATAGGATGGTATTGATGCAGATTGCTTGGTACATGGCGATCTTTGTGGAGGGATGAAGTTTCTTGTTATTAAAGATTCCGAAGTCTGTCAAAGTCAGCTGATCCCTGTTTAATGTGACTCTGGATGTCATTGTCAATGCCGCTATCCTCAGAGATAATGCTCCCCACGTATTGGAAGGATGGCACTACTAACAGCTGTTCAACATCAACAGTGACGGCATGTAGAGTGGGTGGAACACTGGAAATCCATTGGCAGACCACTTCTGTCTTGGTGGTGTTGACAGTCAGCCCCATCCTGCTGTACACTCTCACTGCCACAGCAAGGACAGTCTAAAGATCGTCCAGAGGATGGGCAACAAGAGCACAGTCATCTGCATACTGCAGCTCCAGGACCCACTCTACAGAGTTTGGTGGTTTGCCTGATTTTAAAGAGCTGAGGTCCACTGCCACACTGCTGCTGTCTTAAATCTCATTGTGGAGAAGCTTGATGAAGAGCACTGGCGCAAGCACACACCCCTGCCTCACCCCTGTGTGTACAATGAAGGGCTTGGACTCTTGTCCTCCTATGGTCACCTGAGCAGTCATCCCATTGTGGAGCTGGCGGAGAATGTTAACACATTTGTTGGGAGAGCCAGGAGGACATCCCATAAGAGCTCTCTTCACACAGTGTTGAATGCTTTAAAGAGGTTGACAAGGCCATAAGCAGGTCCTCATGTTGCTCCCAGCACTTTACTGAAGCTGCCGGGCTGTGAAGATCATGTCAATTGTGCTCCTGTTCTTTCAAATCCACACTGGGATTCAGGCAGCATTGACCTGAGCCAGGACCTTGAAGCAACACCTTAGCCAGGACCCTGAAGTGACACCTTAGACTGGACCTTGAAGCAACACCTTAGCCAGGACCTTGAAGCGACACCTTAGCCAGGACCTTGAAGCAACACCTTAGCCAGGACCTTGAAGCGACAACTTAGCCAGGACCTTGCCTGCAACATAATGGAGTGATATGCCCCTACTATTACCACAGATGGCCTTGTCACACTTGGTCTTATAAATGACAATGGTGTTTGCATCTTTCCATTGCTGTGGGATGTTCTCACACACACACACAGACACACATGTTGTGACTATCAGTCTATCTTATATCAAATAATGCCAGGTCCACACAGTTGTCCGGGAGTTTCTTATACGTACTTTTTATTTCCTACCGCTCTGTTACACCTCAAGCTACATACAGCATCCTGCTATCCAGTTCTGGTTCCATATAATTCCAAAATAAAGGTCCTTGTCTATAACAGCGGTAATAAACATTACATCTCCCTTCAACAAAAACACAGTTCTGTAAGGCCATGACCAAATATGCAAACGTAACATAACTGAACTATGTCATAGTGCACATACAATACTGTATAATCTCAAAATCCTGCATATAGTGCAATGTCCTTAATTTCTGTATCCTGAGAAATGCAAGGTATCAAACTTCTTTCTTTTTTTTTCTTTCTTCTTTTACATCAATATACTGTATATGGCAGTGAACTAAGAGAAGGTCACATAACAGTGAGCATAACAAGTCACAAGCTGGTGAGTGTAACAAATCATGTAACAGGAAACATACATACAACAACACTATTTTCTTTTTTATATAGGGCAGCGTTCTTCGTACACCCTTTACAATCAGTTACAAGTCAAGAACTTGTTTTGGCTTGATGGCACGACCATACCTTGTGCGGAGACAAGGCTCAGAATGATCTGATTCACACCCTGGGCCAGGGTGAGATTGCTGTACACGTGGTCCTGTTGTCCAGTGATCAGATCGTCCTCACTGATCTCCGGCTGCTGTATGTCGGGTGCCTGCTTGTTGTCTTGGGTGTCAAGAAGGTGTCGGCGGTTTCTCCTGAAGGTTTGTCCTTCGCTGGTTTTGATGTGATAGCTTCGTGGAGTCTCTGCAGGTTGCAGGGGTTAAAGTTTTCCGTCGCTATGACGGAAATCCGTCAACTCGGCTCTCGTAAGGTCCCGTGGTCCCACCAGAAAGGCAGAGTGAGAACCGCATATAAAAACAATAAGCATTTCGAGAGCCTTTAAAAATTCCTACAGTAGTACAGACCATGAATGCAACACTCCACGTATCCTAGCAACATTCAACCCATAAGTCTCACTCTTGCCAGCACCATGGCTACCTGCCTTGCACTGCTGGTTTCTCTGGA